GAGATTCAATACTGAACTGTAGATTATGAAAGACGATTGATAAGAGAACTCGCTATATTTCTACGTAAACCTGAGACGACGTGCCAAAGTAGATGGCTGCTATGAGTTGTGAACGATCGACAAGAGAAATTTCTAAAGAGTGAGAACAAGTGTCCGTGGGCAAATGGCCCCATTTTTTTCGTTTGGTACCTACTTTGCGACCAAAATCGAATACGAAAAGAAAACGGGGCCGGTCTTGTTCTCGCTCTTTGTATGTAAATCCGAGACGGTGTGCCAAAGCTGCAGATTGCGTAGAACAATTGACAAGAAAACTTTCCAAATTTATGTATAAATCTGAGACTTTACAGTAACTCATTGCAGGTCGTGCAAGATGATTCGCCCTTTAAATTTGTGGGCAAATCCGTGACGGTGTGCCAAAGTACTTGCTGCGGATTATGAAAGATAATTGATAAGAGGACTCGCTAAATTTATGCGTGAAACGGTGTACCAAAGTAGTTGCCGCGGATTATGAAAGACCACTGACGAGGAGACTCCAAATTTATGCGCAAATCCGAAACAATATGCTAAAGTAATTGCTAGAAATTATGAAAGACGCGATTGACGAGGGAACTCTCTAAATTTTTATGCATAAATCCAAGACATAGTTGCCGAAGTAGTTGTTATAGATTATAGAAAGACAAGCGACACGAGAAGTCCCTAAATTTACGTATTGATGTTATACTAAGATAATTGAAATTCTTGATGTAAATTCGTTCCTTTCGATTTTTCTTTTTGCAGATACACAGTGCCATTCCAAAGAACCATTGCTCACAGCTGTGCTAAACTATAAACGCTATGCTTAACGATAGATAGTGTTTAAGGGTTTCCAAGCTCTGTGTTATTTATATTTAACGACGTAACTCGTAATATTAATCGCATCTCTCTACCGTAACAGCTTCACGCTAGAGTAGAGATAATCGTACGGATGAGAAATCTGAGAAGGATCAGTCGCGTTTGTACATAAGGATTCGTTGAAACAAGCAAGCGAATTGTGATTCAGATCGTTTTAGAGACGTTACCAAAGGGAGCTTGAACCAATTTTCTACGCAAAGCTCTAGAGGGGTAGAATATGACCAAAGGTGTAAAGAGAAATCCTGTATCGGTAGAAAACTTTTTCGGTGGCATTTCGGCTATGTCTTGAGCAACGCTTCAGAAGGGAAGAAAGACGGGAAACGTTTATTTTGACATTTGTACCACGAGCGGTAACGTGACTGCTAAACATGGCGAGGAAAAGTGACAATGCGAAGAGCATCAACATCGCGGTGGTCGGGCTCTCCGGCACGGAGAAGGACAAGGGGCAGGTCGGCGTCGGCAAGTCGTGCCTGTGCAACCGCTTCATGCGCTCCATGAGCGACGACTACAACGTGGAGCACATTTCGGTGCTGTCGCAGGTACGTTCTATGCATTCTCGCTTCGTCGCCGTACAACCGAGTAGCGTGTTGCGATGAATTAAACGACTAACCGAGCACTTTAATTTCAGTCCGACTTCAGCGGGCGCGTGGTGAACAATGACCACTTCCTGTACTGGGGCGAGGTGATGAAAACGGCGGAGGACGGGACGGAGTTTCAGTTTCAAATCATCGAGCACACGGAATTTATAGACGACGCGTCGTTCCAGCCGTTCAAGGGCGGTAAGATGGAGCCGTACGCCAAGAGGTGCGCGGCCACGAAGATCACCAGCGCGGAGAAGCTCATGTACATCTGTAAGAATCAGCTGGGCATAGAGAAGGAATACGAGCAGAAGGTCCTGCCTGACGGTAAATTGAACATCGACGGGTTCCTCTGCGTGTTCGACGTGAGCCTCGTGCCGAACAGGGCGATAGAGAAGCAGGTCGAGATCGTGGCGAATATCCTCAACAATTTGATGAAGACGAAGAAGCCGATAGTGTTGGTGACGACCAAGAACGACGACGCGAACGAGCAGTTCGTGAAGGAGGTCGAGAAGCTGATAATGCGCAAGGAGTACAAGGGGTCGATTTTGATCGTCGAGACCTCGGCGCACGAGAACATCAACGTGGACCTCGCGTTCATGATCCTGGCGCAGCTCATCGACAAGACGAAGATGCGCAGCAAGGTGGTGCCGTTCGCCGAGGCGGCCAGGGCCAGGAAGGAGCTCCTGGACGCGTCGACGGAGTCGTTGCAGAGATTGATCCGGATACACGTGACCGATTATCGCGCCCTGTGGTCGCAGGCCTCGAAGAAACTCGCGCAGCTCAAGGAGTTCTCCACCTTCGTCGAGTTGTTCGGTATCGAGGCGACGCAGAGATTGTTCAGAAGGCACATTAAGAAGCTGAAGGACGAGCAGATAGCGAAGAAAATACAGGGCTACCTGGACATGCTGCCGGACATACTTCACGAGATCTGTCCGGACATATCGAATTTAATTAACGAGTAAGTTTCGTGCGAGTGGCAGTTTCGTTTTTTCCCCTCCTCCTGCGGAAATTTTCTTGCGAATTGATTGCCGAGATGTCGCTTTGTAGAGAATGGTCGGCGGTGCAGCACTACATAAAGACGCATCCCGACTTCGATCAGTATTTCTACGAGTGTCCCGAAGACATACCGTGGATCGATTGTGATTTTGGGGAAAACAACGGCACGAAAATCCCGTACGACGTGCTGGAGACTCCCGAGGCAGAAACTGTATTTAAAAATCACATAAATGCTTTACAGCAAGAGCAACGGCGATTAGAGTAAGTTGTCCCGTGGAACCAGCTGCTTTGAGAAATAAATATTGCGGAGACGAGTTTATACATGTTCTACGCACAGAACTGGTGATAGCTAAACTAGTAGTGAATTTATATCATCTCATCCGATAGTCTAGAAATATTCTAATAATATTTATATGCAATTCACTAATGCTTTGCTTTATTCTGGGTGGCGTTTCTTTGTGCAGACTTCCGAAAAGGTAATTTCCGCCTCTTTTTTTTTTGCCCTCTCGTTTACAATGTGCCATCGTAATCGAGCTGGAAATATTCCATGTGATATTTTACTGTGCTAACATTTATGTGTCATAGTGTGGGCTTATACATTATGTAGAATGCTAGATTCAAAGTATATTTGTGGCCGGTAATCAATATTTGTCTCGACACTTAATAAGTCAATTTACTTACAATGCATGAAAGTGGCTCGAGTAAATTGAAATCGAATTAAACATTTTATTATGAGGCGCATTAATACATTGCGCAAACAATTACTAATTTCTATCGTAAATGTAACAGGTAGATATTCGATAGTGAAATATTAACGCTATGGCTAAAAGTGTTGCGGTCATTTGATATTGTATCCTTCGTGCGTTAAATTGTTATCTTCAACAGTTCTTTTTCACTTTTATCAATTGTGACTAATCTCCGTTAGGTGGAAGAAACAATTTAAGCAATTGTTGGAGGAAACCGGCTATGTTACGCCTGGGAAACATTTGTCCGAAGTTAGAGTTTTATTTATGGGCCGGGAATGCTTTGAGGAGCTTTCGCATCACGACTGTCAAGAAATTTATGATCAGCATCAGAAGGAAATTATCGAGAAGGCAAAACATAATTTTCAAGTAAGGTGTTTGTAACAGCTACATTACTGCATCATTGTATAAAGAACGCGCGTAATCAATACTGTAATATGTTACAGGAATTATTGTTGGAACATGCTGATCTATTTTATCACTTCAAGAGTATAGCTCCATCCGGAACTATCACACAGGACGATATAAAAGAAATTACAGACGCGTTACTGGATGATTTTAGGTATGCAATATATTATTAGGTGTACAACTTCGCTTCCGCCGTTTTTTCCCAAAATTTCGGGCTTTATTGTTAAAAAGTGATTACATATTTATGAATCAAAGTACTGTCCGTCGCTAGCCACTACTTTTTCCCATCTTTCTGGCAATTTTCGGATACCATCTCGAAAAAAACGATGCGTATTATATAACAATAAAATAAAATTTTTAATTTTCCAACTACAAATCTATATACATATGAAGTTAACAGCATTATATTGCAACGTAATTTTATAAATTCTTATGCTTCTAGATACAAAGCATTAGACAGATTAGATCAGGACAGAAAGTTAATGTTGTTTCAACATTTGGGATTTGTGCATTGTCCTATAAGGGAGCATTGTCCAGCTTATCCAAATTGCATGGACGCGCTTATAGAAAGAATACTCGGAACGAAGGCTCACAGGTAAGACGTCAGTACTACGTCGAGCAGGATTGTATAGCGTGGAGTTATTTCATAACACAAATCTGAAAACGTTCTAACAGACCTTCCTCATGGAATCACAGTAGTCAGTGGCAGTTAACGTCCGACAACAATCAATTAAATTTAGTTATACTCGGAAGTAACGGGCTAAGCGAAGAATTCGCTCGTGAAATAAGGGCACAAACCGACGACGACGAAGTGGAAATCGATTGTCAACTGTACACTCTCGGTTATCGCATCATAGACGGCGACGTTGGCCTGCCGCATAATTCCTTCACTACCTCCGATTTCATGCCGCACGGTAAACATCGTCCCGATTGTAGATCAAAGTAGATATCGCTGTATTCACTTTGCGGAGCCATCACTTATGGCGGATATATCTTTCTTGTTGTAGGGTCCTTTTGTATCTACTCGAATGAAGACTCATTCGAATACATTCGGTCCTCTTTAGAGAAAACCTTGTTATCGAATCTAGAACAAGAGGACAGACTACCGTTTCAAGGATTGCCCATTGTAATAATGTTTATACCGGAAGCCAGTATTGATGAAATGGAGGCTATGAAGCTCAGAGAGGAGGGACAAAATCTCGCCGACAGGTACATTAATTGTATCAATCGTACAAAGTGAAACTTGCCGAGCGCGTAATAATCTTGACAATTTTGTAGTTTGCAATGTCCGTTTATCGATGTCTGCATGGACGATCTGGAGCAGGAGAAGCATAAAAGATTCCCGACTTCGTTGGTAAAGGACGCTTTGCAGCAACTCATACAAGCCATAAACCACAGAGCTGGTTTTTTAAACATATATCAAAGCGTTATCGAATGTCTGGAGCCTGATATTAGGTAGATCATCAATCGTAGTGGTTCAATTAATTAATTTGTAATTGCATATACGTATGTTTTATCCGGCGCTTGATTTCAGGATAATAATGTGTATGTTCTGCGGCGATCCTTATTCGGTCGAGAACGTTCTCGGTCCTTTACTCAATCATCAATGCTGCTTTCTCAGCGGCGATAGATCTATAGTTTTGGAAACGTTTTTGGGAGAATGTAAGCGCAGAGTCGAAGTCATTATCTCGAGTTTTCACGGAGCCAATGCGTTTAGAGACGAATTAGTACATGGTTTTATACTCGTCTACTCCACAAAGAGGAAAGCCTCTCTCGCGACTCTAAAGTACGCACTAATCATTTTACTTGAAACATTTTATCTTGCAAGATTTCTTTTTCACCGCGTGTACTTCCGTCTTGCAGTGCCTTTTCCACCAACATACCAAATCTACCAATACAAATAATGGCTGTGACCGATACTGGCGGCGCGAATGCTTTCTTCAGCAGCGACTTGAGTCATCTACTTATCACGGAAGGAAACGCGATTGCGGATAAACTGGAGGCGCACTTCATGACATCTGCGTCGAGCTGTCAACAAAAAAGTGAGAAACTCGAGTTTTTCATCTCGATACCTTGGCGAATTCCATTTTCTAACGAATCGTTTGACGTGCAGCCGCGTTTTACACGCCCTTCTTCAAAGTGGTGTGGGAAAAGAAGCCGGAGATCGAGCAAGCGTTCAACATGGAGGAACCGGGGAATTTGAACGACAGCGGAGAAGGCACCCTCGAGTATTCGGCGTTGCATCCGATGCCGCCGCCGCGACACGAGAGCTATCACCTTCAAACGCCGGATGACGGGTAACTATTCTAGAAGCGACTCACTAGCGACCGTACGAACAGATCTATTAACGTTCGAATTTATTGGCGACCCAAAGTCTAATGTGAAGCAGTATGTCTGTAACTTTTAGGAGCGGCTCCGAGTCGTACGAACAGTTGACGCCCGACGGTGATCTGGGCGATACCGGGCTGACCGAACAATTCGCCGACCACAGAGCCACGCCGAGCGACGACAGTGACATTTACAGCCAGGTCGACTTCTATCGTGAGGAGAGGGAGAGAGATCTAATGAAAAACGAAGATATCACGAATAAGCTATCTGGTCGGTAATAAACGAGACCACGCGAGATTCGTGATCCTTCAAGATTCGTCGAGTTACGAAGTCCCCTTTTCTCTTGCACAGGTTGGGTAAAGGACACGTTCATGCATCAAGACGGTGTCACTAACAGTTACTCGCACAGAGCTTTCACGACCGGCCGGCGGTACATCTCCCAGGTGAAGCCGAGGCCGAAAGGCAACAGTCAGACCTTGAAGCAGCCCGGGAAGATCAATCTGAAGGACTTTTCCAACGTAACGGACGTGATAGCCCGGATGACGATCGGCGAGAAGGACGAGCACGGCCCGAAACTGACAATGGGCCACGCTCCTCTCGCCACTCCAGAACTCGTGGACCTTGGCTCCGAGTACGCGCAGGTGAAGGACGTCGTGCCGAACATGTACTCCTACGACGGCGACTACATGTACGCCTTGGTGCAAGACTCTATCGGCAACAACAAGTCCAAGTTGCGCCACCGGCGCGAAAAGGGACAGCCAAGATGTAAGGTCCCCCTTCCTTCTTGCGTTAAGGGAATGTCCGATGTCTACGTAATTACTAGCAATAATTATTATCGTAAACGCACAGCGTACAGCGATTCCGACTCGGAGTGGAGTTCCTTGGAGAGACAAAGGGCGACGGACGTCCTGGGCAAGGGGAACAAGAAGCCCTCGTCGCACAAACGAATACGCAAGAAACGCACGGCAATACCGGTGGCGACGCCGAAAGTGCCGTCACTGGCCAGCATGGGTAGCGGAGACGGTATAGTCGGCCTGAATTACAACATGAAGGACGAGAAAAATTGGCGCGTCGATCCCACGGAGAGAGGTGAGCTTCTCTCCCCTTTCTTTTTTTATCTTTTTCTCAAGTACGTGCGATTACAAGTTCTTACGTCACCTGTGAAAATGGCGATATTTAGAGAGGTATCTCTCCGTCTTTTCAGTATCTAGCGAAACGCCCGATACTTCCGAATCGAGCGATCCGGAACACAACTCGAGGTCCAGATCGAAACAATATAAATACGCCGCGGTTAGCTTGCGGAAAAGATTTTCCGGAAATTCTCTGCAACAGCAATACTTACAACACCCGTTTAATATGAAACACATGACGCAGGAGATGTTCAGCGCCTCCTGTAAGTAACGTGGTGGATTTTAAGTTGATAACGCTAGTTATCGTTATAACTTGTAAGACGTTCCGTCGTACCGATATACTTAATAACAATTCTGATTAGTGCAGAGAATTTTCTAGTACGATTTGAATGAATTATTTAATGTAACCTAAGGTCTAGTTCAGTAATTTAACGACAGTCTGTATATGCATGTTAAACATGTCACGTTTGGGGCTGAAATTGAGGCTTCTTAATTAACAGCAGCTTTGGCTCACTTTATTTTTCCAAAGTAGTAACATGTTAATGCGTTTTCCATTAAGTTGCAGTGTCTGTGCTTTCCTTAACTTGCATGAAACTTGTTATTTTAGCCAAGCACAGGGGTGAAAATACGTTTGGCATTCCAGATGATGAATCAAGTCTCGATGTCTCCTCGCCGCGCGAAATTAATTCTCCCAGTGTAAGTTTTTAACGTACACAAAATAGATCGACATTGCGGTATGTGCGTGTTACGAACTTGCTGCGCTTGCTTTTAGTTTGGTATATTGAACAAGTCGAAGGACAGCGACAAGTTAACCCGGAAGAAAGACAAGCAGAAGGCAAAGGAGGACGAAAAGCTGGAGAAAAGGAGGCAAAAGGAGGAGAAGCTCAAGAAACACGCGGAGAAGGAAAAAGAGCGGGAAAAGAAGAAGCAGGAGAAGATAAAGCAGACCAAAGGCCCGGGAGGAACGCCGATCTCGAGTCAATCGCAGCAACCCTTGATCGAGGATTTTGCACAGAGCGAAACGAATCGAATACCTTTGTTCCTCGAGAAGTGCGTTCGATTTATCGAGGACGAGGGACTGGATTCGGAAGGGATATACAGGGTGCCCGGTAACCGTGCGCACGTGGAATTGCTTTTCCAAAAGTTCGAAGAAGGTATATCATTCGTTAAAGACTCTTTTCTTCTGATCTTTACTGTATTTCCTTCCTTACTTTGTTTTCCTTAACACTAAAGTCGATGTTCTATAAACTTAAACTTTGATGAATAACATGGATCCGTTTCGTTTTTTCTAACGTGCAGACGGTAATGTCGACATACACTCTTTGGATATTCCTGTAAACGCTGTCGCTACAGCCCTGAAAGACTTCTTTTCCAAGAGATTACCACCGCTCATCGACAAGGAACGCATGAGCGAACTAGAAGATATATCAGGTAAGTCGAGTTTTAATCATATTAAAGCAATTTCTATAGAATCTTGAGTCTTTTGTAAAGCTCTTAGGTATATTTATTGTGTCGTTAAACTCTCACTACAAATACACTAACAAAAAGCAAAGGTATCTTTAAGAACGTGTTATGCCTGTATATCTCAGGTGCACGAGGTATTAGCAAACCTATGTCAGCTACTTGCATGAACATGGAAGGTTAGTACTTTTTATATTATCTCATAGACAATAGATCGAGTGATTATTCTTCGGATTGAAATTGAATCTCGAAACTTGGAATTGCAGACCGAAGCGGGAGATTGTTGGCCCTGCGCCTGATGCTCAACAAGTTAAATCCAGTGAACTTTGACGTTCTCAAATTTATCTTCCAGCACTTCGTGAAGTAAGTGAAGGCTGTGAAAATATTAATTGCGAGGACAAACCTTTCATAGGCACGTTCTAATTATACCTCCCTTAATCTCGTTATTACAATTTAAACTTTGTACGGCTTCAGAGTCGCGGAGAATTGTAAACTCAACAGTATGGACAGCAAGAACTTGGCGATTTGCTGGTGGCCTACATTACTACCGATCGAGTTCAACGACCTCGGCAGATTCGAAGCTATGAGGCCGTACCTGGAGGATGTAGTCCAAACAATGATCGATCAGTATCCTTTCCTGTTCTGTGGCGAGGAATGCCGCGTGATGGTGTAGTGACGAGACGCGTTACCTAGCCGTGGAGTGCATAGTTCTCGTCGTCTGTGCGAAGAGGCTGCAGTATTTTTTGTGAACAACGGTGGTAGAAGCGGCGCGTCTGGCCGAGACCTCGCAACAGCGCGTCTGCCTCGTGAAACAATCCGATATGATTTCTTTTATACGTTGTCGACAGTTGCGATACACAGGCGTAAAACGATTGGTCTCAATATAGTTTGTATTAATACTAAACTTCGCTTTAGCGCACTCTCGTAATACAACTAATACAAGTTCCACGTAGGCGCGACGTGGACGAGCAAAGTCTCTGTTTAAGTTTAGTCATTCGCATTCGTTCATTTTCGGAGTGTGTGACAAGCAAGATTTCCCCTTGCGAAATCGATCGACGGTCCTAAGATGATGGTTATTCGCGTGCGCGGATCAGATAATAACGCAAGAATAATAAGAGTCAATCCATGTGTCATAACAGTATGCATGTATCATGTTGGATGTATCCAGAGCGATGTATTTATTAACATTGTACTAGGGATGTATGACTCGATATTTGATAATAGCGATTAGCTTTATGTAGTTAAGAAAGTAAGATCGATGTTGCTTTCTTTCTATTCGCTTTCTTTTCGCTCCGTCTTTTCGTTTTCTTTTCTCGTGTCTTCTTGTCCACATTGCCAAGAACGAAAGTGTTGAGCGCAAAGTGATGATATTAATGTGGTCTCGTTAAAGAGACTGTTATTAGTATTTAAAGGAGGGCGTGTCCAGCCCGCATTTACGAAAGAAACGTATATAAAGCGAGATTTATCGTCGAATAATATCTAAATATATATATATATTATATATATATATATCTCACATAGCAACGATATCAAAAATGCCAGAATTTTTAGCGCGTTTCCTTTTTGGCCAATGCACAAATCGCCTCTCGAGTGTATTTGCTTTTGCATTCTATTGATGTAGAATAGTCGTACAAGAATTTTTTAAATAGTTTTCATTGTGTCAAGGCCGCGCGAACTCAAACGACGATACAATCCGTATATTCATTCCGTCTAAAAAAATATTAAGTAAAAACGAAAAAAAGAAACACGAAAAAAAGCGTTACATGTAATTGCACAATATGTCTTGACAAATAGCGATAATATGCGTATGCGAAGGGAAACGGGGCTAGAGATAAAAAGCATCTTGACATGTTTCGCACGCGCAACGTTCGCAAACGCATACAAAAGTGGAATCGAAGTAACTTAAGAGATATTTAGAGCTACGAACGATATTGAAGTTTCTTAAAAACGGATATGTACATAGAATTCTAACAATTTAAGATACGTACGAAGACGTGGGATGCCAAATTCATGGGAACTCTTTTTTTTTCGCGAGAGTAAAAGAGGTCCGTTTTACACAAGGAGCTGACGCTTTGTCGTTCGTACCTTTGCAAAGACAGAAAGTATTTATTAACACGCTACCGTCGCGCATGAGAGATTCAGGCTTGGCGACTCGATTGAGGAAGGGAGAATTGTACCGTCTAACTTTTTACATTTAATCGGAAAAAGCGCACACGTTCGGATACGTCGATTTATTTTCTCGCTGTTCGCTTTCGAATACGCACGACTCCGCGGATCCGGTGGGTCTCTCATTTTTCGTAGGTGTGCCATAAACTTAAACTCGATGTTAACGATCGTAATGACAAGATGTATGCCTTTCGGCGGCTCGGCATTCGAAAGTAAGCGTTCACGCACCGATCGCGAGTGCACTCGCGATCGCGGCGCATTGCCGAGAGATACTTAAGTGTCGCCTCTGAATGTTGGAGCCATTATAAATAAGAGAGCGAGGGGGGAAAAGGAAGCGACAGCCACGCGCATACACGTACACTTTTGTAACCCGAAGATTTAATCGCAAACATTCCCGTAAGGAACGTCGATGTTACTTTATATACATATATAGTATCGCGAGAGACGCGTTTTAATCGAACAGAGTCCGTGGTCCCGGGAGTAAAACTCACGAGTAATATTGCGAGCTAGGAATCTCGCATTATAGAAGAAAAGGGGAGAATCTCTTATTCGAAACGGACCCTCGTGGGAAACGCGCGTCTCGCGTACGCAATCGTTCTGTATTTGTACGGAAATCGTCGTAACGATATTTCTACAATAGACGCGTCTCGCGAGGACGCGCGCGACGGTAGAAAGAAAGAAGGAACGGATCGTACATTCCCATTTAGTCGTAAAAGAAGAGGGGAAAAGCAGATTTTATACATTCGTACGTACGTAATTGTATAATGTTCTTAAAATAGGGTAGGGAAAGACGTCGATGCTTCACGTGTGGGATTTGAATACTGAAAGACGTCGCGCAACGTCGTAATCGTGATTAGCTGGGAGCGCTCGCTTGGGAGATATCTCGATGCTCCTGTTGTCTTTGTCTATTTTACATGTTGTCTACTTTACGTGTGTCGAATGGACAATTGATTTAGAGCACTTAGAAAGCTTTCCCGCGAGTAAGATTATTTGCACCAGCGTTTTCGTCGTTTAAAGGGTTAAATTAGCGTGGCCGTCTGAAAAGTAGAGGTGTTTTCTACAATCTTTTTCAGAAAAACTGAAAACTGAACATGAGTCGAAGGGAAACTCGTGGATAGAAGACTGAACGTTCAAATTTTTCTAGCGCCCCGCAGCATGACCGTTTTTTTTTGTACATTCTCTCAGAAAGTTTTGGGACAAGTTATAAGAGTACGAGAAAGAATATTTTTTAAAAGAAATATATTTCCGTATTTTTATATTGCAAATAACTTATGATTTTTAATTACATTTAGTACAATGTATTGATAAAATTGTATCAAAGATATTCTTTTTTATGTTCTTTAAACTTGTCCAAATACTTTTGTAAGAGAATGTACACTAAAACATCTGCCCAAGAATAGTTAGCCGGAATCTGAATCGGCTGCATTGTCGTGCAATGCCCGGCGCTTCAACATGCTTGTACGAAAGTAATTGTAACTTAGTTAATTCTTCGAATTTCGAAATTAGCCTCGTGGCAACATAGTCGTGAAAGTAGATGCTACATTTTGAAATTAAAAAAAGAAACAATCTATTCGCTTGATCTTCTATGCTGGTCTAGCCCCTTAAAAGTTGCCCTCCCAAAAAATGTATCTCTGTCTCAGCGTCGATAGATTGTCTCTGCTTATCCGCGATGTTATTGGAACTTTCTTTGTATCGAGATAATAATCCACGAAAAATACTGTAATTTCTATTGTAATATTGTAATTTTCTAACTGGAATTTTCGTCAATCTGCTGTTAAATAGTGCGATCGTCGACAGATCTACCGTACACGTTTCATGTAATACTTCTCGACAGCTTGCGATCATTTCTTATATAACTTCGTTAATATCTTGTATAACGCTTGTTCAAAAATTTAGCGTCAACTAAATGATTATCACCGCGACGATTGAAAAGTGCAACAGTGACCTGACTCATCTTAAAAGGAATCTCAAGATTGAGGGAGGGGGAGAATTAAATTTATTTCTGTCTGCTCTCGTCAGTACAAGCAAAGAGGCATTTTCTCCAAATTTTTTGCTATCTCGGAGACAAGTACCGCCCATCATTAGATCGTCAGGACGTTGGAGTGTCTTTAATAAATTGAAAGCGAGTTGGGCCACTGTTGCAGCGAGAATCTTCCGGTGGCGGTCTCGCCCTCGTCGTATCCACGACGTAACAGTTAAGCAATAGCGAAGAAACGAACGTAGCGATTAAACACTTGAAGAAACACTCGACGACGGCCACGTGTAGTGATCGCAAGATTATCAAGCTCCACGTTCTTCGAGCAGTATTAGCATCATCCTCGACGTCATCAGCACCGTCACCGTCATTATTAACATCGTGTTGCCATCAAACATCGTCATCAACATCATCAACGTCGCCATTGTCGTCGTCGTCGTTTACCATCGTCCCCGGACACGTGCCCATCGGGCGTCTTCTCTCTCTCGCGAAGCCTAAGGGGGAGGAGAAGAATCACTTTTCTACGATACGTCCGTTAAGATTTCCGCTTGTCCTCTCTCCGCCCGTCGAACATAGCAGATTCTTAAATTATCGTAGCCTGTGATAAGACGTAGGCGAAAAACGGACCCCTAGTTTGTCCCTTTTATTTATAGCATCGGCTTTTTTCATGTGCGAGTGTATTATAGTTGTACAGTTGCATCAGGACGATGCGTGTTGTAAGCCTGCTCTCCCATTGCTTTCCTCGTATATTTCTTTCTTTCTCTTCTCTTCCTTTTCGCGTCTCTCTTCCTTTGTCGCTCGTCACCGTTCTTCGTGGAAGCTTCGCCCGTCCTCGAAAGTCTCGTTTGTTGCCCGTAGTCTCGAAGTGCTATGTGAGCACCCCTGAACGTTACGGACGGTTGAATCGTGAAGAAACGTAGGGAAACGCGCGCGACAGGAAACATTTCTCGACCGCGCCGGGAAATTCGGGAAACCGAATTTTCGTTCGACTGATAAGATAACACGTGGAGTCTCAATTTCTCACATCCGCGTGAACGGATCGGAGGTAATTCGCGCGCCGATTTCTCTCGGCCAATCTAGCACCTTTTCTATACCTCGACCGTTCCGCGTAATAAAATAAAACGCATAGCATTTATATTTTTGTATTTTCTTTACGAGATAATGTATCGTTTTATCACTTGGATTGCTTTGTACGCGAGTTCTTCGGAATCCCGGTTTTCTTAGGTCTCTCCGCGCGACGACCTACGTTTCTTCACGGGGAATGCTGGGCGGCGTGTGAGTGCTTGAAGTGTGAAACCGAGAATAATACTTGGAAATTTGATAACGATATAGCGAATAGCCTGTTAACCGCGAGCTAACAGTGAGAAACTCGTCGATGAGAAAAAGTTGATAAGTAAAAAAAAAAAGAAGTAAGTCAATCCCCTTTTCTAATCGGTATAGGAGAAACGATCGGAACGGAGATCGGATCTGCGGTTTTATAAGAATCTTTGATAAATATGGATCGAGGATATAGCTGATAATTAAATAATAATAGTAATAAATATTTAATAGCCGTTTGTATCGAAGGTGGCTACCGAATATCGACCAAGATAGGATCGCTAATTTCTACTTCGCTGAAATCTCCCGAAAACGCCCTTCAGTTTCGCGCACTGAGGACTCCGGCACTTCGGATCTGTCCTTTTTACCCGCCCTCCTCTCCGCCCTGCCGCCTCCGCACTTCCCCGCTTCCCTCACCTTTCGCCCGTTCGGTATTAAGTATAATGTATATTTATTTGAATTTTCGCGCGCGCGCGCGCGCGCGGTTGAAAAGGACAGATCTCCGGTTTCTCGCGGTTCGAAACGTAAACGGATGCACGAACGAACACGCGCGAAGCGACGGAGAGGAAGAAGTTGCCCTCGGGGTGCTGCTCGCAAAGTATCTAAGCCGAAAGCTCCGCGTCTCGCCGCGACTGACGCTGAAAAATTTTAGCCGTGCCCTCGGATTCGGGAAACTTATTGCAAACGTGATAGCCCCTCCCCCCCCCCCCTTGCCCAGCCCGCACATCCACATCCACGCTCGCCCGCCCCCCTCACACGAACTGCGTTTCCACCTTTCCTAAAAATTACGCGTTTATAAATGTCGTCATTTATATACATGTAACGATTTTTGTAAATAATCGGTATACATATATAAATATAATTATATATATATATTAATTATATATATATAAAACACGCAACGTGTAAATGGACGGAACCTGTCTTCGTTGTATCGATAGTCTTATATCAGACTTGTATATGAACGGAGGGACTTTTGATTATTAAAAGTTTCCTAGAGTAAAGAAAAAAAAGAAGCCTCTCTGTCTCTCCATGGACCGTGCTGCACGTCCAAACGTGTGATTACTTTATTACTCCACTTATATTCTTCAGCGATTGTTTAAAATTTCGTCGATCACTGAGGTTTATCAAAATCGCGGAAATTTTATATACAGGGTGTCAGATTCGATATGGACAATCCCAAAGATTATAGTAGATTGGGTTAAACTAAGAAGAAAAGTTATATAAAATTTTAC